GCCCTTGCGCAACGATGCCAACAGGAACATGAGTATGAGCAACACAAGAAGCAATAAGCTGATATGTAGCGCATGTGCTCGCGAAGATGGTAGCCCTGGAGACGCTTACATAAATCATTTTCGGCAAATGTCACCTCACTACAATTGACGTTAACCCCCGGTCATGGCTGTATCATAGGAGTACAAATGTAATGTTTATAAAATTAGATAGCAAGTACTGGAACCACAATTGACGTTTCACAAGCATTACGTTCTATTTGAAAATTAGTTCCGGGGCCTGGCGTGGCTCTGTTGTAGAATACTTGATTGCCACACAAAATGCTTGAGTTGGATTCCTGCTGAGACCATGATTTTCTTTATTGTAGGCGTTTGTCCGGTCAGCGCTGCCGATGTCTGCTTTTTGTTAACGCTACGCGCGTAATGTGTTTTCTCGCCGTTTCTGGGTAGATACTAAGTTCTACCTGTAGCACATATCGGCAAACCAGTGGCACATACTCGCCCGCGAGTATGTTCCACTGATATGTCGGTGCCTCGATAATCTCGCGGCGCAGACAATCTGGACAGCGTGCCGCTTCTTATCTATTCACTAGCGGGAAGCATGCTTCTTATCTCATCACTAGCGGGAAGTGCTTCTTATCACTAGCGGGAAGCATGCAGTGACGCTGCGCAATCGCACCGTCGGGCATGCTTCCCGCTAGGGTGTGCGTACCTTTCCCGGATGTCGCCGGCGCAGCCAGGGTCAGCGAAGCCGATCACGTTCGCAAATGGTCACGTCAACACCAACGAGGCGCGAGCCAGGGAAGCCGTAAGCAACCGTTGGCCCTTGAAAGACCAGCCACACCAACGAGATGTGAGTTAAGAACACCGATCGCGTTCGAGAATACAGACGGCGCGCGGGTAACACCGACGAGACGCGAGCCAAGGAAGTCGAGCGCTAGCGTCTTCAACGCGCTCCGCCTCCCGCGACTTTGCGTTTCAAACAAACGTTTACTTTGTTGTAGCAAGCTTCCAGCCCTATCATGTTGTGTTGTTATTTTTTCATACTTTTTTCGTGTTTTCTGCAAGCGGTCACGTGGCTGTCAGGTGAAAAAATACGTATTAGTCGGCTTGGTGATTAAGATAAGCGTCCTTGTTGTCAGTTAAGCGCCAGCGTGCGTACTTTCTTCCCTTCGTCTTTGTCTTTTCGAGCTCACATCCTAGAAGCATGATACAAACAAGACCACATCGCTACGCTCGTCAGGTAGCTGTTAATTCATCTGGACAACGGAAATTTAACCATGGAGTTTCCCGCAATTAACTTATGATAGCTGCTGGTCTCTGTTTTAATTAAGCCTGCCAAGCACAGCTGACGTCTAGTTCGACAGACGTTAGGCAGTGCCGCAATCTCGTCCCCCTTACTCTAGCCCCCCAACCCCGCACCCTTTCCAACCACTTGTTTTTGCAGTGCATCTTTTGTATCCTATTTTGTTTCATTGTTTACCACCTTTCTCCAGCATAGGATAGCCAGCCACCCTTTCCAGACGCTCTCAGAACGGGCTAACCCCTTTTGTCTTTACCACTATTTCCTCTTCCTACTGGTGCTCCTCTTCCTCAGCTTGCATCTATATCTCGAATTCTCGCTCATGGTCAACACTCCCTATTCGATCACAACCAAAGACGATGCCGACACCGGAATTCCTGCGAAACGAACTCTTAAAAACTATCGCTTTAATAACCAGTAATTTACCTGCATGCAACATCGTGCCCAGCCAGCTGGGGGCAATAGACGCTGCATTACTACATCTCTACTTCGCAACTTCAACGAAATTCCTTTTGTTTAATAGGGAACCTAAACAGCACAAGTTGGTGCGAGCTTCCTTGCTTCAGACTTTGTTATAGCGGATACCACTCCTAATCGCATAGTTCTCTTCACCGCATCCATTAGGAGCAACGCCATGGACCTGCTTGGAGGGACGTCACGTTCTTGCAGCCTGCTGCGTTCACACGGGGGAGAGGCGCGGCCGCATATTACGCGGCACTGAAAAAATATTACAGCGATTCGCGTGCGACCATCGCCGCACAGTGGAACCTGCAATGGGCGACCAGGAACGACGCCCTCAGCTGCGGCGGCGGCGGCCACTCGCCGTCACGCTCCGCAGAGCTCGGCTTCCGGTGGACGCGCGACGACCGTCGCTGCATGCACATGCCGCTCGCTGAATAGAGCTGCGAGCTCGCTGACCGCGCCAACCCAGAGAGGCGCCGTTCAGATCCCCATACTGTAGCAGCACTTTGGCCATGTGTGCGTGCTGTGTGACGGCGGCGCGTCGTCCTTTCGACCTCGCGCCTATTTAGTTGCGTCGACGCCGTCCTCACCGCTCCGCTCGCTTCTCTGCCGCTTTTATTTGACGCTGGTCCGCCGCTGGCAGCCCTCCCCTCTCTTTCTCCCTCTATCTTCTCATCCAGGCTTTGTGGTTTTAGGTGCACACGCACACATGCACAAGCTCTCATCTGCTGTACGCATCGTCGCGCCAACGCGACGCGTAGGCGTCCCGTCCCGTATAGGCCGTTATCGGTTTCACGTCGACGACAGCTTGTGTGTTGCGGAAGAGACACGACGACTTGAGGGAGGCCAGACCATCGAGAACGTTCTGCCGCTTCCTTTTGTCTACGAAGCAACGACCGCTGTTTATTCAGCGTTGGATGGAGGAAGGAGTGTGTGCGTGTGAATTAGTTTCTCGTATGAAGGTTGCGTTATCACGTTTGGTGCAAGTAGCTTCGACGTGTTCCTATAAAGGATCGTGTTGCATCGGTGCGGCGTGTTCCTGGTGAAGTGAACAAATTGTGCGGTACATGGTGCTGGCTTGGAGGAGAAAAATTGAACAGTGGGACACTTTCGTCGATGGTTGACTGTTCTTAGCAGGATTTGCTTCGGTGTTTTCTCGGGTGTGTTTACAGCGGAGAAAGAGCAAAGATTGTGGTGTCAGCGGACGATTTCGCGTATCGACTCCTCGGCTTGTGTGTTTGCATACACTTCCTGCGTGGCTAACGCAGGTCCAAATAACGCGGACATTGGTTCTTGAGCTCGACCACTTCGACTGCGTACTGATCAACTTGATTTCTGGCTCAGAGCTATCTTGCTCACTCTTAGTTCTGAAAGGTACAACCTAATTGAACTGGGTAGCTGTAGTTGATTGCAGACAGCAGCGCTAATTCCCTGTATGTGCAACTATATTGTACAGTCAATGGAGTGAAAAATCCGGAGGAGACACCACTCTGCGTTTGTCATTCGCCTCGTAAACGCTCACCGGTGAATTACTTATGACTCATTCGTTATTATCAGCCGTGATCTAATCTTCCGCGTCACAATTCTGGCACGGTAATGGAGGCAGCTGTCTTTCAGTATGCAACGCGGCACCCGGTGAACTTAGCCTCTAGATAAAAGGGGCGTTGAAGATCGACGAATCTCACACACAGAAACGGAGGTGCATCTTCTTTTTCCCCCATCTCTTCCTCTTACGCGACTTGGACGGACGGACAAAAACCCAAATCAGGTATCCTTACATAACAGGGGTTCCGTCATCAGTACAAAGGAAGCGCACTCTATCCGCATACGCAAGTAAGTCCACGCCCTCGTTTCTTGGTCACACCAGCATTGCGTTGCGACCTCTTTTTCTGCCTTTTTTAGAGGTCGTGCCGGCTTTGTCCCCTCCGCTGTTCGTCCATCTCGTTCACGAAGCGACGAGCTTGGCGGCACATCCAGCACCGCGCAGTGCCACGCACGCCGTCCTGTCTCGCTTTTTATTTTTTTATTTCTTTTTTGGCCGGGACTCTCTGCGTGAGAGGGGTCGTTCCACCTATTTCACGCTGTATATGAAAGAAATACGAGCTCCGTTTTACGGCCATTCTTTTGGAAAGTACGGCTGCCGGTCGAGGGCCGCTGATTTCGTTGATTCTACAAAGAACCGTGGACGACATTTTTTTTTATTATTTCTTCGTGTTCCGTGCGCCTCAGTTTTCCTGACCTAGAACTCCACCCACCACCAGGCCTGGCTGAGGCCGTGCTCTGTATGCACACCAGCGCCGATAGCTTTTAAAGTAGCATAGAATTGAGGATCCAAGGAAAAGTTCAGAGTTAATAGAGGGTGCTGACCATCTTTCGTGACGACGGGAGTCTCACTACAAGGACGTTTCCAAAGAGGGAAGGATTTAGTGCGCCACTGGAGGTCATCAAGGAAGGTGACGTTCGCGAGACCTTCGAGGCTTCAGTGTGCATGCCTACAACAAACGTTAACGGCCGTTAACGGCTGCAACGGCTGCAATTTCTTAAACGCTCGAGTTCAACGTACGTTTTCCCGGAAGAAGTGGCTTCTTTCTCAAAGTTAAGCCCTTCGAACAATGAAGAAGCTTGAAGATCCACGAAGGCAAACCACAGTGTGAGCTTACTTATCATTTATTCATATGGTAGTTTTGGGACGCTAAAACCCACATATTAATCAATCGAGCATACATATCATTACTAATTTTTGAAAGGTACCTCTGAGTTGTTTCATTGGGCTCCAGATTAAAGTCTATAAGCTGGCTAAAGCTGGAGCGCCACGACTGCCTGCCGTCTGACCTTGCCAGAGATTGTGCGTTCAAGTGCATGCAAACCTGCCGAAGCACTTCAAAGCGTTTCGGAGAACTTCCCCCGAAACGGGGAACTCGGGGAACTTCCCCAGCAAAGACCAATAACTTCCGTCCGGTTCAGCTGCTCAAAAGTGTGCTCATATTGAACAAGACATGTGAAGTCTGACGTCATTAAAAAGGTTGTGCCGGAACGTTTTGACAAAGCAAAGTGACAGCGCTCAATCTGTGCAGAACTTCGCTCCTCCAGTGATTTGTTTGTTTGATCTGCCGATTTTGAACTACACCACCATCCTTGTGAGAGAGACTTCAAGAGGCCTTCCTATTCGATTCCTTGGGATACCAGAAATCAACCTGCTGTATCGTCGTGCATAACCGGCCCGTGAAACGTCATCGCCATGTGGTTCGCGGTGTCCTGCCACCCTGACGCCCTGGACGGGCGGAGACCGCGCGTCGAGGTGTTGCACGTGTCGCCGTGCCTGCGCGTTCCGACGTACTTCTGGGACCGCCAGTGCGTGCTGCCGGGATGTCCGTGTCGCGGCGAGCACTACGTGTTCACCGCATCGCGGCCCACCGCAACCGCTGCGTGCCACGACGACGTCGCCGCGCCGCCTCGGCCGCTGCGGCGATCGGCCACGACCCTCGGTTCTTCCCTCGGCGCACTACGGTGGAAGTTCTGGAAGAAGGTGAGCATAATCGCGCACAGCGTCCGGCAGTAAGCAAACGTGAAATCAACAGACAATTAGTCCATGGAAAAAGTAGTGAACATACGCAAAGGTGGAGCGCTGGGAGGCAGCATAATTTCAACGTTTCACAACGCATGGAACCAGGACGAACAGCACTCTGTGAGTCTCCTTTTTGTTCGTCTTCGTTCCATGCACTGTGAAACGCTGAAATTATGAATTGAACATTTTGTGGGTGCTTTTAATTGTATTGAAATAATTGTGAAAAAAAATGGAGACGAATCGCCAATTAAAGTGGTCCAGAAGCGTTGTTTTCGTAGGTGGAATTCGAACCCACAACCTTCAACTTACGCTTCCAATTTTGTTTTGTCTGACAAAAAAAAAAACGAGGCCCTCAGACAATTCCCCTTCTTCCGTTATTCCTTAGATCATCCTTCGATACCATACTCGCGCCGTAAGCTGAATCATGCATTCCGAATGCTAATGACATTATCCAGTCTGCCTTTACCAAATACCTGAGCTTTAGCACATAGGGAACTCGTCAGTGAAGGCCGTTGGGAATGGAGTGGAGATAACGAAGGATCCTAGAAGTTGGTATACACGGCATGAAACATAAATGCCCTTGTTATAGATAAAGGAAGGTGTGAGTGCTGACGTTCAAATCGTCGAAGTACGCGTCTCTCGCTGTAGAGAATGAAAAAAAAAAAAAAACACTGGCGAGTTTTCTACCACGGCCGTTTTCCGCACTGAATTACGGCTCCACATAAAAGGCGAACTGCATGGCATCCTTCAATATAGGGCCGAGTTATACGAAGCTACGGACGCGCTGCCGAGAGATAAGTGGTTCGATAAACACGCAGCCAACACTGTTTGCTTCACGGCGACGGCAAGCCGTATACGTGGCGTACGATATGCCCATCACCCATTTACGTGTCTTTTCCTTTTGCTTTTTTCTTGCCAGCGGGAACGCTAGGAAACAATCGTGGCGCGTTGTTTGCTTGAAACCATGCGTCGTGATCTTTCCGAGTGAGCTCGCAGTCAAAGCGAAGTCCATTCCATCTGTCCTACTTACTTCATGGCGGGTTCTTAGCCTTGAACTCGATTTGTGGCCCCGTGATGCGCTTGCATTTTCGTACCTGTGTGCTCGAGAAATAAAAGGAAGTCCGAGGAGCCACTTTCATTCTCCGTAGGTATAAGAGAGTGGTTCATCAAAGAGCGGTTCGAGGCCACCGCCCTTTGAGAGATAAGGAGCTGCGAGACCAACGTTGAGCCACTTGGCACTGAAGATGACCAGGTGCCCCCGGCACTCCAACGATGCTCTCGTCTTCGTGTGTAAGGTTATGCCTCGTATACGAACAACTTGTACAACGTGGAGCGTTGTTTTGTTCGCCGGAGCACAATAAAACAATCGACTTTCGCCGTCTTCGGTCCTGATGGGGCGGTATCGGCGGGGTGGCTGAACCAATTATACGATGAAGAAAAAAGAATAGAAAAAAAATTCTGCCAGGTCCACTTCGCGGCCACTGATGAAACAGCGAAGATGTTGGCTTACAAGGAAGCCTTCTCTTCGCCAGTTATTTCAGCTGGTTGGATAAATTGTGATCTGAATGCAGTGCGGTTGAATGAAGTTGAATGAAGTGTGGAAGGAGTGGAGAGAGTAGTATATAGTAGTCGGCGTAGCGGTAAGGTGTGGGGCAGTGGTGGGAGCAGCGGCACATATCCGCAGGGGGCATTTACAAGCTTCCTGATGCGGCACGTAACCCGTCTGCGATCTACGACGGCGCCCGAACTTGAGACGATTGTCTGAGAGTATCTCCGCTGTTATAAAAACAACGAGGATGCGGAGAAGGTTAGAAATGTGTGGCGATTTGCGAGCGCTTAGAAGAAGAAGAAGAGCCTGCAAAGTGTGGCACACACCCACGCTTTGCAATCGGTCAAGAACCGTGTAGTTCTAACGGAATACCTTTATTTTGATAGCTTAGGCTTTTAACAGAATGAGAAGGATCGAGGGAAAAATTCGCGGCCTATAGTGGCCAGCAAACTTCCTTCTCATTTTCAAGAAACAGTGCTGATAGAATCGGTCGCTTTTGTAACGAACGTTCATTGAATACCGTGGGAACCAAACAAGCTCCAAGTTTATCCCCGCAAGTAAACGCACAACATGTGCGAACGCTGTTCTGCGTTTACTCATTTACGGAGCCAAACATGAAACTAGAAATATTTGAAACATCAGCGAAACTCTTCCTGTATCATGGGGTACGAAAATACTCCTGACACCCATGCAGAGGATACAAAACGCGTTTGTTTATTTTCAATGTTCGATGCGATCGGACTAGGAAGAAAATATTCCTTTTTTTTTCTCTTTGAATTCCAGTGAAATATTTTTATTTGAATTTACTTTGTATTTTGTCTTATTCTAAGTGTCTCCTACTTCTTCGGAGAGTTTTTCGAAAACGCCCTATTCGTCATTGGTATTCTAGCCCCAGTTAATTGACATCATTACTGCCTACAGAAGAAGTATACGTTCAGTTAATTGCATATACAAGCTTTCGTTGCAATTATGACATGTTACGGCGTCTCACTGTCAACACGGCCGCATAATGATGAACGTTCAGGAATACGTGCTCTTCTTCTCCGTTTATGTTTATATAAGCAACCAACACAGCCAGACTTTTTCTCATTTGTCTGTTTTTTTCTGGTCTGATTACATAATTCAGATGAAGAAAATTGGAAGCGATGTCGCAATGGCGTCTGTGCTCGCGTGTATGTTGCCTCGATTGGTCTCCGCTTGCTTGTATATATTTGCGCGTGTGTGTGCGATCGACAAACCACGCCACTCCGTGGTTCCATCGTTGCGTAAGCCTCATCAGACCGCGGGCTCAAGTTGCACAAACACAAGCTGCCCTTTTTTGCCCTCGGGGCTCCCAAAAATAGAGACGTGAAGCGCAGGCGCATTTCATCGATGATGACCGGCGTCAACCCCAAACCCTTTCCCTCTTCACACCATCGTCCTTTGTTCACTGCCCCCTATGGACTGCCCTTCACAAATAAACGCTGCGTAAAAGACAGCCTTTAAGAAAATTGATCGATATATTGGAGCAACTTCATGGTACGTCGACTCCATAAGTCAATACTTTACTGTATACGAGTACCCAGTATTTTTCTGTTACAGTTTTCACCAGAGGTCATCGCCACAGTAAGTCGCTTTAGAATGCCCGCATCACAAGCCGTATCAGCAGCTCGTGGACTATATGCATGTGTTTATTACACTTTGTTAGCGTCTTGAATTGGGCTGGTTGGTACATACTGACAAAAAAAAAAAAAGAAGTAACAGCGCTGGAACAGGAGGGAGACGAGAAGACATGTAGCGCCGTGTGCGTGTCTTCTCGTCTACATTCTGTTCCAGCGCTGTAACTTCTTTCTTTGTTATTACACTTGTTGCGAAGAATGAACGTGCTTGAACTACTCCAGCATATTGAAAAGTGTTGTCTTCCGCTGTGAACAGCAGTGTGCGTGTGCTCTGTGTCTATTCTTTCTCCCTTTCTTTCTTATCTACTTAGTCCCATTCTCCACACCCGGTGTATGGGGCAACATACCGGATACATAAGTTCTTTTTTTTTCTCGCTGCGAGTACAACAACGCGCTAATCTTAGTAGTTTATATTAGGCATCAAGTCTATAGCCCGTTATTGCAATGTGAGCCCTAAGCAAGACTGTTTTGCTGAACCAATGACCATTCTATATTTCCTTTCTATCTACTACATTCGTGGGAAAACTACAATGCACTGGCCTAGCCTTTGACCACTCGAATTATCAATAGACCTATATGTCCATCAGACGTACACAGAGCTCTGACCCCAAACAGGCGCTGACCTGTACTAATACACACGGCACGTGCGCCTCGTTTCAGTGGCTTCAATATAGAACGGCGTTCAATATAGAACGAAAAGTGCACGCGCTGTGTATATTTGCATGGTTCATCCGACGCGCGCTGTCAATCATCGTCGTGCTTCATTTTCTGGACGTCGCGTTCGGTTCGATCCGCGAGCACCGAGTTTTTCTACTGTTACGTGGAGGTTGAACGACCCGAATACGGCTGCCTGCCCCGTCCGAGCTCGAAGAGGCGTGGTTTGCGAGGTCACTGTCGCGGGGAAAACGTAACACCGAGTGTTCGTTCATGCAACGTTTCTGTGCGTCTGGCTCCAATGCTTTCGTTTTAACTTTTTGTCACTTTTTTTTTACTTCGACCTTCGTTCAATCAGGGGTGGTTACCTATTAAACGCACGTTTGTACAGTATAGTGTCTGATGGAATCGGTTGCTCTTCTCTGGGTCTGGTGTGGTCGCTTAATTAAGCACAGGGTACCCCCGCTCCCCCCCCCCCTTTTTTTTTACCTACGTATATACATGTGTCCTCGTCGTTTGCTCTTGTAGCCCCATATACCCATTTGCATTCGGGTTTGTTTCATATACATCCGAATTCCTTCTCTGTTAAAGCACACAGGGCACAAGAGAACAATCTGTTCTCTTGTATCCCCCCGTAAGAAGTAACTTAATGCAAGTATCTAGGAGTCACCTTTACCAACACGCTAACATGGAATGACCACGTAAGTAATACATAGCACCACAGCCTTCAGAAAAGTATGCCTCCTGAGGCACAAACTTAAGAAAGCACCGTCCGATGTAAAGGTTCTGTGCTATAACACCTTAATCAGAACTAAACTAGCACATACATTTATCGTTTGAGATCGGTATAATAAAACTAATAACAATAACCTCGAGAGAGTGCAGAGGAAGGAAGTTAGATTTAGATTTATCAAATTCTCAAAACAGGATTCATCCACGGAACTTACGAAAGCTAACCAGTTGAACCACACGAGATGAGAAGACATAAGCAGAGACTGGATTTTTTTTAACTACTTTACGCGAACAATTCACTACTACACTCTTCTCTATCTATTGGCCCTATTAACCCGAACCACGCGTCACCGTAGTAGACAAGATGC